AACTGCAGTCGGACATCCTTAGCGTTGCTGAGGAGGCGGTCCAGAGGCTCCTACCACCACCTCTGTACTGGCAGCCGTCAGCCTGGCTTGTGGCTGAGCAGAGCTCCTCCTTTGGGAGCGCACCGACCACCAGGGGCAGCTCCTGCATTGAGTGTCTGCCCCCTGGTGGTCAGTGTGTGTCATAGTGACCAGTCATTCCCGGTCATTTTGCTGTTAGGGTCAGTTTGCATATTACCCTTTTATTATATAGGATAGAGGCCTGGTGCACGGGTGGGGGCTGGCTGGTTTGCCCTGAAGGTGTCCTGGATCAGGGTGGGGGTCCCACTGTGGTGCCTGGCCAGGCTGGGTGAGGGGCTGATGGCTGTTTGCAGGCTGGTCAAGTCCCCCCCCCCCCCCAGTGGGGACTCTTACCCCATGGAGGTTTGGCCAGCCTGGGTGAGGGGCTGATGGCTGTTTTCAGGGTGGCCACACCCCCTTTAGGGTAGGGGGTCCCCACTGGGGTGCCTGGCTAGTCTGGGTGAGGGGCTCAGGTCTGTTTTCAGGCTGGCCAGGCCTCCCCGGCGACAAAAGCTCCCAGCCTTTCCTTTTTTTCTTTTTTTCTTTTAATTCTGGGATTTATTTACCTTCTATCATTGAAACTTTGTAGCCTGGAGTGGAGCTCAGAGCCAGCCAGGACAGGCCTCCTGCTCGCTCCAGCTCCGTGGCCACGGCCGGCTGAAAGCAGGTATCTGGGGTTTATTTACCTTCTATAATTGAAACTTTGTTGCTTTGAGTGGAGCTCAGAGCCGGCTGCAGCAGCTGGGAAGCTTGGCTTCCTCCATCGCCGGGGCAACCAAGCCTCCTGCTTGCTCCAACTCCGTGGCTGCCAGTCGCCATCTTGGTTGGGTTAATTTGCATATAGTCGCTCTGATTGGGTGTGGCTTAAGGTGTAGCGAAGGTACAGTCAATTTGCATGTTTGTCTTTTTATTAATGTAGATGGTATCTGTTTAATCTCAGTTACAGAGATGTGTGTTATATTATTTTCTGTACCTTTTACTGCTCATAACTTTTCATAACTTAAATTGTGATGGAATTTTTAAGGATACAAATGAGGCAAAATACATAGTTGATTTTTCAAATGTATTGAAGTTCTATTTTTAATCCAGAAAATGCTTATAATTTTAACCATGGTTTATGGCACTCTTCCTAACCTAATTACAAGCTTTTCTACCTCCTTAAAAAGAGGACAGTAGACATAATTTAAGCTTTTTTAAATGGCTAAAAGCTTATATAATTTGAATAACTGAATTAAAGAATGAAAATGACCCTTAAAATTAACTTTTAAATTTTAAATCAAATGACCCTTTTGATGTTTAATTCCTGTTACATTATTCATAGGTGAAAACCCAGCCTCAAATTGAATATTTCCAGTGATTCAGTACATTCCATTTCCATCTCTCTCCTTATAACCATCACTCTCTCTGGCTTACTTCTGCCATACACGTTTAATCTCACATTAAATCCCTTCAAATAGTTGAAAATACCATGTCACTCCTACGCCCCCTTTTTCCCAGGTCAAACGTCTCCATGTACTTTCCTTGAATAACATTGTTCAGATCCTTGGCCTATTTTTCTCTGAACTGCCGATTTCTTAATAACTTATAAAATGTCTTTATATATTATGGATACTCTTTGTTATACATGCTGATAACATTATCTCCCAGAAAGTCACTTATCTTTTAACTTTATGGTGGTTTTTGACATATGAAAGTTACTAATTTCTTTTTAATGTAGCCAAACCTATCATTTTTTTTTCTTTCATGGCTTCTGGGTTTTGTATCTTACTTAAGAAAATATTACTATAGTCTTATGTTCTGCTTCATTTATGGCCTTTTTTTTCCTTTTTCATTTATGGTTTTTGTTTTGTTTTTCACATTACTGTTCTTAAGACTGGCTTCTCTAACACAATATGTTTTTGAGATTCATGTTTTATGTTCTTTTTTCACTTTTAGCTTTCATATTTATGTCTATGATCCATCTTGACTTAATTTTTGTGTATGACAAGAGGTCGAGGTTTATTTTTTTTTTTTTTATTTTTTTTTTTACAGATCTCTCTATTTCCTGCATTTATTCTGCTTACTTGAAGGCCATTTGTTACAATTGCCCAACTTGATTTTCTTATTTCAGGTTGCTAAGTCTCCTATGTCAAACTACTTTCTTGCCCTGACCGTTTTGGCTCAGTGGATAGAGTGTCGGCCTGTGGATTGACGGGTCCCAGGTTTGATTCCAGTCAAGGGCATGTACCTGGGTTGCAGGCACATCCCCAGTGGGAGGTGTGCAGGAGGCAGTTGATCGATGTTTCTCTCTAATCGATGTTTCTGACTCTCTCTCCCTCTCCCTTCCTCTTTGTAAAACATCAATAAAATGTATTTTAAAAAAACTATTTTATTTTCCTTGCTCATTTTTGTGAAAGAAAATCTGTATTGATTGATTATAATAATTGGAGAGGATCTCCTTGGCCATTTCGTGGGACAGAGCTTGATTTCCACAACGGGTTACAACCACCCCTTCCTCCAGTGGCAGAGTAGGTGGCTGCAGGAGTTTTCTGCTGGGCAGTTATGCACTTCAATTACCCAGTGACACGAAGAAACAAATTCTGTGGCCAGCATTCCAGGCCGTGGCAGAGTTTCCAAAGCCCTCCAATTTTTTCACTGCAATTGCACCTTCCTTCTGCCAACATAGTTCTATAAGTAATATCGGAAATGCTCTTGTCTAACTCTTGTGAGGTCAAGATTTTTCTCCCCCAGTCCTCACCTAACTGAACACTTTCTTTTCCACTGTCCTGTGCTCATGAGCTAGAGATCTGCAAGCTGGCTCCTAGAGTCCTCTTTCAGTTGGAGGCAATTACATGATTTTTAGTCATGTTTATAAGTTGGCACCTCTCAGAATATTGACATATACCCCATTCCTAACATTGCTTTTGTTACTGCCAGAGAAAACTTACATGTCCAGAGTAGTACTGGTATGAATGAGCCCAGTTTGGACATCTTTGTCAGCCCAAACAATTTCATTGATCAACCAATAGGTATTTATTTAGTGCCCAGCACTGTAACTATAGTCTCTTCCTTGTGTTCTCGTTCTCTCTCTCTCTCTCTCTCTCTCTCTCTCTCTCTCTCTCTCCCTCCCTCTCTCTCTCTCTCTCTCTCCTGAAGAATATAAAACAATATATAAAGTATTAGAGATACATGTTGGCTACTCCTGATTCTTCATTATTCTCAACCCATACTGTTATAGTTTCCTATAGTTTCACTAAAATTGATTTTTAAGTGGTCCCATAGAGAACAATGAATGAATTTTGCACTGGAGTCAAGAATAGGCTGAGTTTCGTAACAGAATCTGGAAGATTCCTCTTCCCTTTCCTTTGAGAGATAAACTGCTCTTCCCTTTCCTTTGAGAGATAAACTGCAGTGCCTAGAACACAGATGTAATTATGACTCAGACCTGATGAAATTACTTGAGTTAGCTCACCTGTTCGATCTGTTTGTACCATATCATCAGCACGTCCTCTAGCTGGCGAACAGTTTCTGAATTGCTGGCTGCGACTGTCACTTCTTCAAAGGTTTGCAGTTTGGAAAACTCAAAGTTGTCTATATTCTTTAACTTAACTGTTCCCTCATACTTATTCTAGCACCTAAAAGGAAAAAAATATTGAGAAGAGGTGTTTAATGTCAATGTGTTAAATATCACTGTGTGGTTTCAAGGTGTCATTACTAAAAAGTGAGAGACCTAATACTTCATAGAAATATAATTCTAATTGATCATTAGATTGTGAATTGATGGTTTGTTAATAAAATTGGGCTTTAACAATATGAAATAATGTAATTATATATTTAAAGGAGAGTTTATAATAAAGTATATATTTTTCAATATAGTGGAATTTTTCACAAATAATATAGAAAGAGAATCCTCCTGCTGTAATGGAAAACAAAAATGACAACTTATCTTACTCCTGCAAAAATCCTGGGAAAGAAAGGTGCTAATGATTTGATACCTTACCTCTCTGATAATTACCTTAATATCTTCTTTTGAAATGGAATTTTTTTATCTCTTGCTTATTTTTAATAACATATAATTAATTTTCTCATTTTTAGTAATGTGTTAGATAAGAAATGTTATACTTACCATCTAAAAATGAAAGGTATCTGTTGATTGTTTCAGTGAAAACGTGTTTTTCTGACTCTCCCTGCTTGGATTGGTTTAAAGCACCCCAATTATTTGTTGCAAGGATAGCTGGTAGAAATATCTTTGCCAGCATATTCCTGATCCCATGTAGGAGTCCTTTTGAGGCATCCAGAAGAGTAAACAGCACTTCCTGAAAGGGCAGTGTTCGAATGTGTTTACATGCTGATCCCAATAAAGAACTGAACATCATCACCTATTTTACATTACAATAAGCATAGACAATACGTCTTATAAACTATTAGAAAAGCTTAAGTGGTTGTGAATATTAGAGTTCTAAAATCATCAAACTTATTTTCTGCCCTCATTTTACCATTTACATGCCTGTTCAGCAAGTAAAACTTCCCCTGGTGCTTAAATTTCCACAGAGGGACGGAGATGTGGCCCGGAGCCTGTGCAATGTGAGGGAAATGAAACTGGGCCTCCTGCATAAACAAAGTTTTCAGTTGAAAGTTGCCCGGTCTCTGAAAAGGGGATCAGACACACTGTGCCAGTCCAGGGAAAAGCAACAAAACTAGCCCTCTGCTCAGAGTTTTGTATGGCAAAACATTGGTCAAAGGGTACAAACTTTGTTATTAGTAAGTTTGGGAATCTACCATGGGGCATGGTGATTATAGTTAACAATACCGCATTATATACTTGAAAGCTGCTCAGAGGGTACATCTTAAACATCATTCATCATTACCAAAAAATTGGTAATTATGTGAGGTGATGGAGATGTTGGTAATGCTTCCATGGTAATCATTTCTCAATATAAAGTGCATTAGAGCCCTAGCCAGTTTGGCTTAGTGGATAGAGCATCAGCCTATGGACTGAAGGGTTCCGGGTTCAATTCTCAGTCAGGGCACATGCCCGGGTAGCAGGCTCAATCCCCAGTGTGGGGCATGCAGGAGGCAGCCAATCAATGATGCTCTCTCATCATTGATGTTTCTATCTCTCCCTCTCCCTTTCTCTCTGAAATCAATAATATGTATAGGTATATGTATATGTATATGTATTTAAAAAGTGCATTCGATCAACTCATTCTACACCTTAAACTTAAACAATCTTATATGTCAATTACACCTCAATAAAGCTAGAAAAATGTTTATCTATTTGAAAACAAAATGTAAACATACCTCATGAATATTTTTAAGATTTATGGCACTATCATTTTGACAGCGAACAAAAAATATACACTTTCCTTTGAGTTTCTCCGGGGCTGCATTGTCTATGTACAATCTCATCATTTTTGACCCTTTGGTTACTCCAGCAATAATTCGACCACATTCTGAAAACAACAGTCAAGAAGTTAGCATATGATCACATAGCTGATCAAATGTGGGGAATTACTCTGCCCCTTATACTGACGCTTCTTGCTTCACTTTATTATAAGACGTTTTTGGTGTGATTGTGGAATAAATTGTTTTTTGTCTACAAAAAGATGTCAATATTGGAATTCTCACATTGGGGCTTCCCCTGGTTCCTTTCCCCGAGTTCTGCACATCCGCTCCTTTTGGCCAGGCCTCAGGCAGGGCCTACACACAAACGGGTCCCCTATCCCACCCCCCTCTTTTGCCTACTTCATTCCAATTTAGCTTTCAAATCTCGGCTGAAACGCCACATCTCTGGGAAGCCTCACTGACTCCGCTGAGAAGATTCAGTCGCCTATTAAATATACTCATAGCACCCAATTTATATTAAATTCTTCCTTGAACTAATTTCAATGAAAACTAATCATTTAATTATAAATCTTTCTTTGAATTTAAAAAACTATTAACAACATAATTCTGTTAGATGGCTGATTGTAATATGAATATGCAAAAATCAATAGTTCCTCCATTTACCATAGCCAATTTAAAATATGCTAAATGAACATTGTAATTCCCCATCACAAAAACCATAAAAAAGGTTATGTATGCCCTGCCTGTCTTCCTGTGGGCTCAGGGGATTCCCCCATCCTGTGATTCCAGAGATACCAGTCTCAGAGCCCTGCAGTGGTGGGCACGGAAAACTAGGCTAAGCAGGCTCTCTGCGAGAATGTGCCTCTTGAATGGAGACACACAAAGATAAAAGGGAATCTGAGAGATGTCAATCTGGTGATGAATCCAAAAATGACGGCCCTGAAATCCATGGAAATGCTCTATTCCTGCCCTTTCCAAGGCCTGGTGGTTCAACTAATTCTAAAATTTGTGAATGCCCAAACACCTTTTTTTCTTATTTAAGTCAGAGTCTCTTTCTGTTGCTTGCAGTCAAAGAACCCTGGTACAATATAAAAGCTTAAATGCTCATTCATAGAGGTTGGGATAAGAGCTACCTCTACCTTTGATAAAAGAACCTGACTTTGTCCCCTTAAGCAATGTGTACTAGTACATTCCCTGGAAAACAACTGCTTTCTCAGCCTCCCTAGGGTAGCCATGGGACACAGTTCTGGCCAAGAAGACAACTTGGGCTTTCCTGGAAAAGTGCAGGTGTGTGACTAGTGAGGCTCTTTCCCACAAGTGCCTTGAACCTGGATGTGATGCCCAGAGCTGCATGGGGCAAACATGAACACAAAGCCAACATGTTAAGAACGGCAGAATAAAAAGAATCTGTGTTCTGGTGGCATTGCTGAGCATGTGAACCATTGCTAGTCACTGCCTCCCTTGTTACGAGAGAAAAATAGGCCCACTATTAGGATTTCTGACTTACAGCTGAACATATTCCTGGGTGGCAGATCATAATAGGGGAATGGTTTCTAAAAATCACAGTGCAACTGTACTATGGAACACCGTACAACATTTTTTTAACATAGAAAATGTCAACTGCAAAAAGCAAGTCAAAAATAAAACATATGATCACATTTTTAAATGATATAAGCATTTATATGTTAGCACATGCATATAAGAAAGACATGTAGAGAAATATTTACCAAGCTGAGAAATGCACTACTTTATAGATAGTAAAAATAATGATTAAAATAGGTCTGTCCTTCCTTCTGACAATTCCCCTCCTGAGAATTCTTTCCAATACATTTTCCTAATCCACACTGAATTAGCGTCAATGATTTTCATCGAGGCATTGTTTAAAGGAGCAAAAAGTTATAAATAACCTAAATTCTAATAAAAGGAGATAAGTTTTGAAAATCATAGTTACATTAGCCTGAGAGAGAGAGAGAGAGAGAGAGAGAGAGAGAGAGAGAGAGGAGGTAATCCATCAAGGAGTTAGCAATATTTATTTCAAGTGAGGGAGAATGTGGGTGATTTTTATTCTAATGGTAGACATTTTCTTATCTTTCTACAGTTTTCAGCTATTATTTTAATTTTTAATGAGTTATGAAAATATGGGCCATGCAATAATGTACTAGGGTAAGAACTGTGAGAGACGGAAAATCCACAGAGCAGACCTACTCAGTACGTATGAGTTTACCTATTTTGTTGGGGAAGAAAGATATACATATATTCAACAATTAGATGAAATTAGAAGAATATAATCAGGTGCTGTGTTTTAACTGAGACAGGAGTCTGGAGAACAGGGTTGGGTGTGGCTTGGAACATTCTGGAAGGCTCTATCGAAGAGAGTGTATCACGTCACCTGGAGGAGGGGCAGGACTTGGCTGGGTGGAGAGGAGGAAGGCATTCTGAGAGTCAGGAAGGTGGAGAAAAGCTCACAGAAATGACTCTGGTATGAACAGAAAACAATGAAGGGACTGGCTTACAGAGAGCAGAAGACTCATGTCTGGAAGAACAGGAAATCAGACCAAACAGGTTACCGTGGGTCTTAGCGGATAAATGAGGGGTTGGACCCAATCCCATAACTAGCAGCACAAGGAAAGAATGACTTGGCAGGAGTAAGTAGTGTGAACTTCAGAGGAGGAGTCTGGTAACGGAGATACTGGTTTTCAATCTGGAATACTAGGGCAGGCATGAAGTACGGGCCAGCCACAAGGCAGCAGAGTTTAAAGCAAAAAGGGACCAATAGGAGGGACACACTGAAGATGAAATCCACAGGGTCTGGAAGGTGAGGAGTCTAAGGCCAAAAGGATGGCCTATGCACCTCGTTATTAAGACAAAGGTTTAACTACCTGGTAAACTGTTCATTATTTTAAGAATAACGAGAACAGTAGGGAAAGCCGGATATTCCAGCTGGCAGCTGCAGCAGACAGATGTGCCCAGGACCACAGGGAGCGGCTGCTGAGCTCTTGGGTGGTTTTGTGACTATTTCTAGTCATCTGAGAACATGTGTACAAAATGGCTCCGCCTGTTTCAGGGAAAATCCAATTAAATTCTAGAGAAAATTTGTATCCCCCAGGAGAGGTCAGTGATTTCTATAAGGATGTTTTCTCCTTAAGTCATTATAGTAGCCCAGATGGAGTGACTCAGTTGGTTGAACATCGCACCGAAAGGTTATTGGTTCAATTCCCAGTCAGGGCACACATCTGGGATTCAATCAGTAGGTTCAATCTCTAGTTTGGGTACATATGGTAGGCAACCAATAGATGTTTCTCTCTCACATCGATGGTTCTCTTTCCCTCCCTTCCTTTCTAAAAATCAATAAATGTATCCTCTAGTGGGGATTAAATAAACAAACAAACAAGCAGAACAGAAACAGACTCATAGATACAGAGAACATTTTGACAGTTGTTAAAAGTAAATACATTTTTTTTAAATCATCATTAATACCTGAAACATATATATTTGGATTTAAAATGTATTGTTTTTAAGATATAAGCTTCTGATAACTTTTCTTTATGAATATAAGATTTCCCATGTACAAGAGAAAAGGCATGCTGCACTTTAACATTTATGAACAACTAGCCAGCACCGTACCCGGGGAAACATCCTTACCCAGGCCGGGCGCATCTCCTTCCTGGTACAAGAATTTCAATGTCTTACAACCATCTTTCATAAAAAAATAAGTAAGTGGTTCCAGCTGTTAAATAAAAGAAAAAAAATCAATAAAATGACTAGGGTACTACAATAAAATTAACCAAGCCCTGTGTTAGGCATTTTACGTACTTTAATCTTCATCATTTTGTAGATTAAAAAGAGGCTCAAACAGTTTATTCATGATACACAGTCACAGGCACATCAGAGGCAGGATTAGAATCTGAACTAATTTAGCTCCACAATTACTGTTGAATATAGGGTGAATTCTATTTCTGAACCTCACCAGAGGATATCTTTTCCGTTGTTCTTTTTGTTTTGTTTTTTTGTTTTTTGTTTGTTTGTTTGTTTAGAGAGAGAGAGAGAGAGAGAGAGAGAGAGAGAGAGAGGAAGGGAGGGGGACAGAGAGAGAGGAACATCGATGTGAGAGAGACACATCTGATTGGCCTCCCGCACGGGGGATTGAGCCTGCAACTGAAGTATGGGCTCTTGACTAGAATTGAACGCAAGACCCTTCAGTCCATGGGCTGATGCTCTAATCCAGCGGTTCTTAACCTATAGGTCGCGACCCCTTTGGCGGTCAAATGACCCTTTCACAGGGGTCGCCTAAGACCATCCTGCATATCAGATATTTACATTATGATTCATAACAGTAGCAACATTACAGTTCTGAAGTAGCAACGAAAATAATTTTATGGTTGGGTCACAACATGAGGAACTGTATTTAAATGGCCAGAAGATTGAGAACCACTGCTCTAATCACTTAGCCAAACTGGGGCAAGGGAAATTCTTAAAAGCGGGTTTGGGGAACAGAAAACTTGCCAGATTAATTGTTTTGTTTGACCAATTATTTGAGTAATTATGTTTTTAGCTACTGTAATTTGACCCATATTGTAGCTAAACTAATATAAAAACAAACTGTTATAATGACAGTCTTCTATATTTATGAGCGTGAAGTTCTTATTTAATTATGAGTCAGTGTAATATTTTAATAGTTGGAAAATTAAACAGATCGTGTAAACAAAACCTCTCACACATCATTTGGGAAATACAGTTACTGAACCCACTTCACTGATTTCATACATTAAGTGTCTCTCTTGGGCAGTGGGTTTCTCTTCACTTATTGACCACATGTGGGATGTATCCCAGGTCTGGCAAAGCCTCTCCCGCTAGGACAGTGGTTCTCAAAATGAAGTGCGCATCAGAGCAGTACCCAGAGAGCTTTTACACATACAGAATGCTGGGCCTGAGGACTTGCATTTTTAAACGGTTCCAGGTGGTGCCCATGCCACGGGTCCTGGGACCGGGTTTGGGAACCACCACTTAGGAAGTGAAAAGGAGCCACAGTTATGTGCAAGAGTCTAGCCCTTAATTTTCTACTCTTCCACCTCACACATAAACTTGACTCTCTTGCACAATTATTTCAGGTCGTAACCGGAAAGATACAAAAGCTGTCAGCACAGCTATTCTTGCCCAGTTCCATAAATACTTTCTTGCTGCGTCTGACTTTTATGTCCCTTCAGCTTTGAAAGCAGACAAATTCTCAGAAGTAGAGCACTTGACTGCGATAAAAAGAGATCACAATACCAAATGCACTCAGTTCTTTTTTAGACACATTGTCCTCCTGAGACCAACGGAGTGAACGTGGTCATGGGCCAAGATCATGACTGCGGATGTAAAATTCACTTAAAATATATAACGTTTTACAAATAGTTCATCTGCGCTCCACCACAACCTTGCATTATCATGCCCCTTGCCGAAGAGAAAAGTGGAACTAAAAAGAATTTTCGTGAAGATCAAAGACATAACCACAGTGCAGAGCCCCGAACTGACACACACCAGCACCTCCAGATCCGTGCTTTTTCCACAGAGCCATATTGTTGCCTCCTTGACTTTGGAAAACACTTGTCATATAAGGAAAGCAATGTATGGAACTACTTTGAACGGTGCTGAACGAAGGCAACAGTAAAAGTGGAAGTGGCAAAAGCATGAATGCTAAGAGGGTAGAAATCTCTGGTTTGGTGAAGGTCCCGGCAAGAAAGAGTCCCAACAAAAGAGTTTTCAAAGAAACTTTATAATAAAGAGGCTACTTCTAGAGGCCAGAGCAGAGTCAAGGGAAACTGTGGCACTAGCACCAATATAACAGGGCTGACAATAAAGGAAACCCAGTAGCACCCAAGGCCTGACAGGGTAGGCACGGGGAGAATGGTGTAGCTGAAAGCAGGTTGAGAACTGGAGCTGTGGGAGAGGGACCGCTCAGGAGGAGCTGTAGTTACAGGAGGATACGACCATGGCCAGACACAAGGCCAAGTGGGGAGGGTCAGACTTTTCCCCCTTCTGCCCTCCAGTCTCCTGCTGGTGTCTCCCGGTGGCTGAGTCACTTGGAAGCCACAGAGCAAGGGAGCTCAGGTGATAGATTCCAGAGACGTCATCCTTCCAGGCCACAGAGAAGGGTGACTCAAAGGAGAATAGGTCTGAAGGCAAACAATATAACTATACACCCTCTGCTGTCCACAGCTTCGGGGTGCTCTTAATAAGCTGCTTTCGCATCAGGCTTCACATACATGGAAAACGTTTCCGTATACAGTTTTCTCAACCACCACACCAACCCATTACACCCCTTGTTCCTCGTTCCATCTTCTTACTCACCTGCCCACCAAGTTTGATGCAAATGTACTGCATGTCCTTACCTTGTCCTTTGGATGAAATAAGTGCTCTCATCTCTCCCAGATTTGACATTGCTTTTCCTCCTGGCTATCCTTTCTTCCCTCCACTGTGGCTTTGCAATTCACAGACATTTCTTAAGGCATCACTTTTCCTGTCTTGATTCTTCCCTCAAGAACTAGATTTCCCATTCCTCACAGCCTAAGCAGTGTCTGGCCTGGTCTGTGATGGCCTTCACGGACAAGCCTAACCACACAGACACACTCCAGGAATGACAAGGGGAAGGGTTTGCAGACACGTGGCACTCCCACTTCCTGGCTAGCATGCTAGCCCTTGAGGAAGACTTCCTCCAGGCACAGAACGCGGGTCCAGAAAGCCAGGGAACAAATATTGAAAAGTGAGATGGCCAGCTCTGCGGGCACTCATCTCCCTTAGCCCCGACAGCTGTCCTCCCCTGACGACACTGGCCAAGCCCAGTGTCCATGCCTAAGCCCTTTGCAGAACTGCTGGGATTCCACTGTGGGGTCAGCCAAAATGTGTGGCCTAACCATTTTCAGGTGAAACAAGGTGATTCCCCATCTGGTTTCCTCCTTTACCAAGTGCAGGAATGGTCCTTGGGACAGGCCTGAAGCCTGGGCCTCCTGAGAAACGTTTTTAGAAACTGGCCTTTTCTTCATCTCATAGTCATCTGCTCAGGAATGTGTATAGGGGTTTTGTTGTGTGTTTTTTGTTTGCTTTTGGGGGGGTCCTGGTCGGGGGAGGGGGTTGCACCACTTTCTTGAGTTTAAGAATGTGCAGACACATAACGAGAATTGCCAAAGGAACCTAAATAACCAGTAGGGAAGGGAGGCCAGGAGAGTATTAAAACAAGAAAAAAACAAAGCAAAACAAGACACCAGAAACAACTTGAGAATAACACAGAGAAACCTCTTGCCATAGGAGTGGAGTCATCCACAGCCAAAACAGCCTGCGGAATCTGTGGGGCCCAGTGTTGAAATGTAAGTGCAGGACTGCTTATTTTAAAAATTAAGAATTTCAAGATGTGACAGCAGTTCACTAAACCCACTGCAGGGCCCTTCGGCACAGGGGCCTGTTGAACTATCCAGCTTGCATGCCCATGAAGCCAACCTTGACTAGACCTGTACTCTCCCGCAGGGAACTCTGGTGGCCTCAGAAGCCAGACCCTACTTCCAGGTGTTTGCCATGGCACCTCTTATTTTGTGTACACGTCTCCATGCATCTTCCTAACTTTCGCCATTAAAATAGCTCAGAGGTATTGATCTCTCTGCATCAATCACGTTCCCCATCTTATGTAACACACTAAGGGAGCTGGAAAATAAGTAATCCCATTCACACTGTCCGGGAACTGCCAGTGATAAAGTTTTATAAGGCCCTGGAAGAAATAAAGGGCAGACAACTTTCCAGAACTTGACAACACACGACATTGCATCAAGCAAGAGAGAGGCTTTTTTGTTTAGGAGCCATTCCACAGAATCGTGGCTCCTAGAGCAAGCTAACGAGTTTTGCCCACATTCGCTGGTCCCTGTGAAAGCAGAGTGCATAGACCCTGATGATGACAGCCTCAGCACATTACCATCACCCACCCAACTCTCTCACCAGTGCATTCAGTGGGACCATCAGCTCCCCACCAGCATGTATCTGCTCACAGTCTTGCTGGGGCTCCAGCCCACTCCACTCCAATAGTCAATAAAATGCTCAAGCAGCCTTTTATTAGTAGTAGTTCATGATTAGTAGTAATTTTGTTGAGAATCAGTTTAGAACCAGAGCTACCAGACAGGACGCATGATACTGCTTCTAAGAGCTGCTAGGGAAGTCACAGCTTATCATCTATCAGTATAGTTAGGTGGCCATATAAATTCATCATCGAAAAATGGGACCCGTTTAGGCGTGAAAGGAGGGACTGTTAATAATTATGTCAGAAAAGCAGGCATAATCCCGGGCTGGCCCTGGCACGCTGAAATGTCTGGCAACTGCCTCGTTGTTTTCTACCAGGCTCAGGCACTGGTCACTGTTCCCTAGCTAAGATGTCCCAAATGATCTACATATGTAGTTCCTACAACCTGTTCTTTTAAAACGTTACTCTACCTATGCTTGCCTATTTCTCTAACTTGTAAAGTCATTTTAAATTAGAATTTTAGCCAAATTCTAGTTGCTAACTCTTCTCTTTTCTTCCTTCTCAACAGTAGACCTAACTAGAAATATCATCCAACTGGCTATATTTCTATAAAATAAAGCTTCTCACCCTAACCGGTTTGGCTCAGTGGATAGAGTGTTGGCCTGCGGACTGAAAGGTCCCAGGTTCGATTCCAGTCAAGGGCATGTACCTTGGTTGCGGGCACATCCCCAGTGGGAGATGTGCAGGAGGCAGCTGATCGATGTTTCTAACTCTATATCCCTCTACCTTCCTCTCTGTAAAAAATCAATAAAATATATTTTTTTTAAAAATCAATAAAATATATATTTTTTAAAAATAATAAATAAAGCTTCTCTAGTCAGTGAACTTCCAACCTTCTCTTTCTAAATGTGTTGTGGTTAGCCCTAGCTGGTTTGACTCAGTGGATAGAGCGTCAGCCTGCGGACTGAAGGGTCCCAGGTTCGATTCTGGCCAAGGGCACATGCCTGGGTTGCAGGCTCGATCCCCAGTAGAGGGCGTGCAGGAGGCAGCTGATCAATGATTCTCTCTCGTCATTGATGTTTCTAACTCTCTATCCCTCTCCCTTCCTCTCTAAAATCAATAAAAATATATTAAATAAATAAAATAAATGTGTTGTGGTTCATGACTCCAGTTTCTTAAATCAATCACTTCTCCAAAGAGCAATTTGAAAAAGAATGACAAGACAAACTTACAGTTGGACAATCCAAAAGTAATTCTTCGACGGCTACTAGGTCCAGGCCAAGAACTTCTGATATAATTTCAAATAAGTATTTGTATGAAGGGTCAATTTGCAGTCTTCGGCTTTCCCTTGCATCTCTAAACCTTGCCTAAAGAATAAACACCACATGTAAACACGGTAGTTATAAAGAAAAGCTAACAATGCTCTTGTATTTGAAATAAAAGTGACATTTATGAATCGTAAGCAAAACCTGTCTCTCTTTCAATGTCTCCTGTAGGTTGGGAATGCCACTCATACTTCGGAAGTATTTGGACGACCTATGGGAAGACTGCGAAAGTGCTTCAGAAAGCATTGACTGCACCGTTCGGGGCGCGGGCCTGGCGCGAACTCTCTGTGTTTCCTCCTCATCGTCTTCTGGAAAAAGTATCCTTTCACTAGAAGGAATGAGATTCAGAATATCGCTTCCAATAGAGGAAGGCATTTTTATAGCAAAAGAGTCCGCATCTTCTCCGGAGGTGGCCTCTCCCGGGGACTTTGCCTGCGGAGCCTCTTCGTCGGCCGGAGGAGGAGCCGCGTCTCCCGGAGGGGGCGGGGCCGGCTCTCCGGGACCCGGAGGGGCGGGGTCTTCGGGACCGGGAGGGGCGGGGCCTCCCGGAGGGGGCGGGGCCTCTTCTCCCGGAGGTGGCGGGCCATCCTGCTCAGCGCTCATGTTCGCCCCTCTTTCCTCCTGCAAAGCACCTGAAGCTTCAAAACCTGGAGTGTAAATTATAAAATGTTTTCTTTTAAAACTGTACAATAACTTGAGCGTTATGTGTCCATTGATTCCTCCCCTTGAAGCTAGACAAGTAGCAAAATCATCTATTTCTCCCTTACTATGTTATCTAGAGAAGCTAAATTTACAGGACTAGAGAAATTATTTACGTTACTTCATTTTTCAATTACAGTTTACATTCGATATTATTTTGTATTAGTTTAGGGTGTACAGAAAGAGTGATTTTTTTTAAGAGTGAAGCGCGCGTACACACACACACACACACACACACACACACACACACGGTAGGGGGTCTTTCAAACTATAAGAGCGTCTCCTGATTATGACACCACCCTAGGGGACTGCTACTCCACACTCACCCCATCCGTCATAGTAACCACCTCTATGTGTGTCTTCTTACCTCAGTTTCCTTGGAATTTATGTAAAGCTGTTTAAGGAAAAAAAAAAAAACAGCATTGAATTTCTGAAACTCATTAGAATATTCCTTCCAGAGTACATGTTCTAAGCAAAGAGTCAATTTGTGTTCTATTAATTGAGTGCTGACATAGGGAAAAGGGAAGAGATTAACCAATGAACTTATAGGCATATATGCATAGCCCATGGACAGACAATGGTGCAGGGAAGGCCTGGGGAGGGGGGTAATGGGGAGAAAAGGGAGACATCTGTAATACTTTCAAAAATAAAGATAAATTTTTTAAAAGAATCTTTATGGTTAGTAGTTTGCAAACACTGAATATAAGGAAACTGATAACTAGGTTTTAATCACTATCATGACTGAGAAACAAATAAATTCTAAATAATTTCTATGGTTTCAAAGTTTTTATTTTTTTATTGTCTAAATAAATCACATATCTAAGACTCTCAAAAGCATGTGCCTGAGATTTTCATTTGGGGGAGATTTTGCCTAGAGGAGCTGTAGAAATCTTTCTCCAACGATATAATTTAAGGTGCAATTTCAATATGATGATTCATCATCTGTAAGTCTGTCTTGTCATGTATAGAGCAGTCAGGGTTATTTTCAGGGTAGTTTAAAAAAGTCATTGAAGAGGGACCAGGACTGAGGCTGGTCTGACGCCGGACAGTCTGGAATGTGTAAACCATTTGCTCCTAAGTATTCTTGGTTAGGGAAAATACAACCTTGTCATTCATTCATTAGCTGGCTGTAAATTGCTCAAATTGTTTGGCCTTGTTTAATTTTTTATTTCCGTTTCCCTTATCCCAATTGCTAAGGAATCTCTCTCTCTTTATACTATCCTGCCACATTACCACTTCCAAGCACTGATGCAACTATTTAAGTTAGAAAAGGAATACAGCTATGTTACTTTATATAGAACAATTCCTTAAAACTACAGCAAAATTCTAAATACATTACATAGTTGAAATGGAAAAAATCTGAGTAAATACCAATTAAGTTACTATATACACACACATCACATGTTTGTATATATGTTGATTATTTACATCAACATGTTTGTAATAGCAAAAACAAGCAAGAAAACAAACTCACTACCTGGAAACAAACAAAATGTTCCTTCATAAAGGACCCATTAATTGTACTGTAATTAATACTTGTACTGTAATTGTTCTATAATATCCTTCCTGTTCAATAAAATTATCATGCAGACATTAGCAATAAAAAGGATAAGAAAAAACTGTATATACAGATGTAGAAAGATCTTGAACATATATGTTACATAGAAAAGAACAAGGTGCTGTATGTTGCATAACAATAATAAAAGTATAAAGTTTTTAAAGTGTATTTATGCACATGTATAGTATTTCATCTATTCTAAGAAGCCCTTTTTAAAAAATTGATTTTAGAGAAAGAGAGGAAGGCAAGAGAGAGAGAATGAGAGAGGGGGAGAAACATCAATTTGATTTTCCACTTACTCATGCATTCATTGGTTGATTCTTTATGTGCCCTGACTGGTGATGGAACCTGCAATCTTGGTATATCGGGGAAAATGCTCTAACTAATTGAGCTGTCAGACCAGAGCCCTAAGATACATTTTTAAAAGGTTTAATTGGCAATATTTTTTCTTTCTTCACAGTTTTTCCTTTATGTGATTATGTATATGAAATTTGCATTTATGTAATTGCATAAAATTTATGTACTTTCATAGATCAGTATCAGTTTAGATTTGGTAAAATGCACTAAAAGCTTTAAAATTAAAAGCTTAAAATTAAAAATATAAAATTTATGCAATTATATAAAATCAGTAATAGTTTAGATTTGATGAAAAAGATTAAAAAATTTCCAGGGAAGATTCACAGTAAAGTAACAATGATCACCCCGAGTAAGGAAGAATGGAGGAAGTAGAGGAAGAACCTCATTTTTCAACTTTATAACTTTCTGTATGGCTCTTTAAAAAATACAGCCATGCCCTGGCTGGCATGCTCAGTGGTTAGAGCAGTACCCTGTGCACCAAAGCTCCGTGGTTAGAGCAGCACCCTGTGCACCAAAGCTCAGTGGTTAGAGCAGCACCCTGTGCACCAAAGCTCAGTGGTTAGAGCAGCACCCTGTGCACCAAAGGGCCATGGGTTCAATTCCAGTCAAGGGCATGTACCCGGTTTGCAGTACCAGGGTTCCAGGTTCATCCCCAGCTCCAGTTGGGGCATGTGCAGAAGGCAACCCATCAATGTGTCTCTTTCTCATTGATGTTTCTCTCTCTCTCTCTCTCTCTCTCCCTCTCCCTCCCTCTCCCTCCCTTCCACTCTCTAAAAAATAAAGGGAGGAAATGTCCTGGGGCAAGGATTAACAACAATAAAAGCTAGTCATGTGCCTATTGTACTTGTATTATATGTGTGTATATCATATATAATAACATACAATATGTATTTATATTTTCCCCCTATCTATTCTAGGATTTAAAATTCCCTGTGAATTTTAGGATTTAGCAAGACTAATTCTGCAATGAAGAGGCAGGGTACACACTTTGCTGGCCCTGACAGCACGGAGTGAATGCAGGATAAGCACTTGTTCATGCTCTCCCTCCTCTCCTCCCATCTCCTCCACTGACAGGTTACTGCCACATGCAACCATTTTAAATTCTCACCACCCCTTCTCCTTAAGTTCAATTTTGGAGGTTCATTGGCTGTCCCCAGTCATCCCTAGGCATTTTCGGGAGCAGTGAGGTGCTGGACTCCTCCACGCATAGGAATGCTGACATAAGCGAGTGCACACTTGTGTGCGAAGGGAACAGCCACTCCACCCACACCCCTTGCTCTTGGACCATTTCTATAAGCCCATCCCTTCTTCCTTCTTGATCATTGAGGGTCTTCTGCATTCCTGGCCACTGTGGCTACCCACAAATCCGGAGGAGCCCCACCACAGCAAACGCGCAAATGGGGAGACTGACTGGTAAACACGCGAGGTGGCCAATGTCAAGAAAAGGTGAATTAACTAAAGGCAGAGAGAGACTGGCAGTGCAAGAAACTTCTGGAAAACACGTGACAGAAAGGGGCGTGTTCTAGGCAGAAGGTGGGATTAATGGGGTGCAAAAAGCAGGAGAGATCATAGCTCGCTTGGGAAAAGTGGCAAATGCAGTGGAGACTTGGCGGGTGCAGGGGACCGTGGAGGAGAGGAGCAGAAAATAAGGCTGGAGGGGTAGGTATTTTGTCTGTTTTACTTTTGAATATAAAAAAGGGGAGGAGGGTGTGAAGTCGCTTAGCTATCCCGCGAAGAGACTGGGCTTTACCAGGGGCAGTGACTCCGCTGGGGTTTGTAGCTGGTTGTTACTTGGGAGGTGGGAGACTGAACTTTGCACCAACTCCACTCCCCCCAAAAGGGAACAAACCCGCCGGAGCAGGCTCCCCGGGCCGGAGCGCGCACTCCCCGCCGCTGCCCAGCTCACCCGGGCCACCGAGCGGCCGCGCAGCTGGGGCTGCCGCTCTTGACCTTCTTTCTCCGCAGCCAAGGCCCGGCCGTTGGGAGTCCAACTGCGGTTTCCTCGGGGGCGCACCGCGCAGGCTCGGAAGGGTGCTGCTCCGGGAGGGAGCGAGGTGCGGGGCGCTGGCTGCAGGGACCCGGGCGCCCCGCCCGCCCCCGCGCGCTCTCTGGGGACGCGCGCCCTACGCAGCGGGAAGGGGGAGGTGGAACATCCTTTAGGGGCCGAGCCACTGAAGAGCAACTGCCTAGAGATGGAAATCTGGGGGGTGGGGCTGGGGAGGATTTCAGGGCATGCTTTGAAGGGACTGGCATCAAAGTGTAACTACATAAAAGAACGTTTTCTGTAACCTTTACATTTTCTGAAGTTAGTATTTCACTTGAGAACCTAAAATGTTTTCTGATGGATTTCTTTACTCAGGAACCTATGACCGATGATACAGAGAATAGAAAGACTCTGAAGAAAACTGACTTAAGTCCACGTCCCGCCTCTTTCCACTACACTTCTGCTTTTCCTGCGATTCCCTGTCACTGGTGTGGTTTTAATTGGGTGTTAAAGTCAATCTTCGAATGTAGAGCAGATCAGTTTACAATGAGGACTGAGAGATCTGCCAACTAGGAAAAAAACCACAATGATTATTTTTAAAAAATCACAAGAAAAGTTAAATAAACCATGGTCTATCCATACTAAGAAGTAACAGGCAATGATTATACAGTGAGGTTTCGGCCCCATAACGGCCTCTGCACATCTTGCTGAGTTCACCAAACTGCAGTACCTCACTGGCCTGACCCTGAGCTACCGCGGTGTGACTAAGGAGCTCACCTTCCAAGCCAGAGGGACTAGCTTGCTTACTTTGTGCCACAAAGGATGCTGACCCCTTAGCCCTGGAATCCTCAGCTGCCTCCCAATCCACTGCCTGCATCTGGGCCTCTAGTGTGGCTGATGGGACCTGGGAGCAGAACTGGCCTCCCATGTGTTTGTTGGGCTGTGAGTAATAAAGAGTTTCTCTCTGGTCCATCTTTCGACTGGTCTACTTTGGGCACTTGAAAG